CTCCAATGTGGAGATTAAAGAAAAAGGAACATCCAAGAGCTGAGTACCTGAACTGATGAGACAGTAAAAAGCACTCATAGATAGAATTATTTTGAAATGACAAAATATGGAGGGAGTGAGTGAAAATCTCAGAGAGAGAGAAAGCAGTAAAACAGCATCAGCAGGCACCAAATGAATCAGCTCAATTTTCTCGGCTGTCTTGAGGGCTGGAGCGTCTGACAGGCCAGAAAATAAGGATGACTCATCTCGATTCACTGAGACACACACATGCGTGTGTGAGAGTGAGTGCATATAAATATGTATATATATATATATAAAAAATTCCCTTCTCACCCACCGCGGGTGGTTCTTATCCTCTGAGCTCGGGTCCTCTACCAGAGGCCTGGGAGCTTGAGGGTTCTGCGCAGTATCTTGGCTGTGCCAAGGACTGCACATTTCTGGACTGAGATGTCTGATGTTGTTCCTGGGATCTGTTGTAGCCACTGCTCCAGTTTGGGGGTTACTGCCCCGAGGGCCCCGATGACCACAGGCACCACTGTGGTCTTCACCTTCCAGGCCCTCTCCAGTTCTTCCCTGAGGCCCTGGTATTTCTCCAGTTTCTCGTGCTCCTTTTTCCTGATGTTGCAATCACTTGGTATTGCTACATCTACCACAACGGCTTTCCTCTGATGTTTATCCACTACGACAATGTCTGGTTGGTTCGCCATTACCATTTTGTCTGTCTGGATCTGGAAGTCCCACAGGATCTTAGCTCTGGCGTTCTCCACCACCTTTGGGGGTGTTTCCCACTTTGATCTCGGGGTTTCCAGTCCATATTCTGCACAGATGTTTCTGTACACTATGCCTGCCACTTGGTTATGTCGCTCCATGTACGCTTTCCCTGCCAGTATCTTGCACCCTGCTGTGATGTGCTGGACTGTCTCAGGGGCCTCCTTGCACAACCTACACCTTGGGTCTTGTCTGGTGTGGTAGATCTGGGCCTCTATTGCTCTGGTGTTTAGGGCCTGTTCCTGGGCGGCCAGGATGAGGGCCTCTGTGCTGTCCTTGAGTCCAGCTTTTTCCAGCCATTGGTAGGATTTACTGATATCAGCCACTTGGGTTATTTGCTGGTGGTACATCCCATGTAGGGGCTTGTCCTCCCATGATGGTATCTCTGGCACCTCAACCTCCGTTCCCTGTTGTCTGAGACATTCACTGAGCACATTGTCTGTTGAGGCTTTGTCCTGATGTATTTATGGATCTTAGTTGTTTCGTCCTGGACAGTGGTTCTCACACTCACTAGTCCTCTGCCTCCGTCCTTGCGGCTCGTGTACAGTCTCAGGGTGCTGGATTTGGGATGGAACCCTCCATGCATGGTTAGTAGCTTTCTAGTCTTAATATCTGTGGCTTTCATCTCCTCCTTTGGCCAGCTGATTATTCCAGCAGGGTATCTGATTACTGGCAGGGCATAGCTGTTTATCGCACGGATTTTGTTCTTGCCATTGAGCTGGCTTCTCAGGACTTGCCTTATTCGTTGGAGGTATTTAGCTGTGGCTCCTTTCCTTGTGGCCTCATCGAGGTTGCCATTTGCTTGTGGTATACCTAGGTACTTGTAACTGTCCTCTATGTCTGCTATTGTTCCTTGTGGGAGTGAGACCCCTTCTGTGTGGATGACCTTCCCCCTCTTTGTGACCAGCCGACCACATTTCTCTAGTCCGAATGACATCCCAATGTCAGTGCTGTAGATCCTGGTGGTGTGGATCAGTGAGTCGATGTCTCGCTCACTCTTGGCATACAGCTTGATGTCATCCATGTAGAGGAGGTGACTGATGTTGGCCCCATTTTTGAGTCGGTATCCGTAGCCAGTCTTGTTGATAATTTGGCTGAGGGGGTTCAGGCCTATGCAGAACAGTAGCGGGGACAGAGCATCTCCTTGGTATATGCCACATTTGATGGACACTTGTGCAAGTGGTTTGCAGTTGGCTTCAAGGGTGGTTTTCCACAGCCTCATCGAGTTTGCAATGAAGGCTCTCAGAATCCTGTTGATGTTATACATCTCTAGGCATTCAATGATCCAAGTATGCGGCATTGAGTCATAGGCTTTCTTGTAATCGATCCAAGCCATGCACAGGTTGGTGTGTCGGGTTTTGCAGTCTCGGGCAACTGTGCGGTCTACGAGGAGTTGGTGTTTGGCTCCTCTGGTATTTACACCGATACCCTTCTGTGCCGTGCTCATGTGTTTATCCATGTGTTTGCTTATCTTGGCCGCTATGATGCCTGACATGAGCTTCCAGGTTGTGGAGAGGCAGGTTATTGGTCGGTAGTTGGGTGGGACTGGACCCTTTGATGGATCCTTCTGGATTAGGATTGTCCGCCCTTCAGTTAACCATTCAGGGTGAGTCCCACTTTGTAGCAGCTGGTTCATTTGGGCTGCCAGTCGCTCATGGAGAGCAGTGAGTTTCTTTAGCCAGTAGGCATGGATCATGTCAGGCCCTGGTGCTGTCCAGTTTTTCATACCTGAGACTCTTTCTTGAACATCTGTCACAGTGATGGTTACCGGGGCTTGCTCAGGAGGTTTGCTGTGGTCCTTTCGTAGAGAGATCAGCCACTGTGCATTGCTGTTGTGGGACGCCTCCCTTTCCCATATGCCTTTCCAGTATTGTTCAGTCTCCAGCCTTGGTGGGTCTGCTCTGTTGTTATTACCCTGCCATTGAGAGTACACCTTAGCTGGTTGAGTGGAGAAGAGCCGGTTAATCCTTCTGGATTCATTCTCCCTTGTGTATCTCTTTAGGCGGCTGGCCAAGGCTTGGAGCCTCTGTTTGGCAGTCTCGAGTGCTTCAGGTATGGGCATCTGGCTGTACTTTCTGGGTACTGGTCTTTTCATTGTACCCTTGTGGAGCTCTGACAGTTGGCTCACTTCCCTCCTTGTTACCTTGATTTTAGCCTCTAACCGTCTTTTCCATGGTGGGTATTGGGTCTCATGGTTGCTCTTATAGCCAAGTATCTCAAGGATCACTGATGCTGAGTTGTAGATCAGCTCATTGGTTTCTGTTATGGTGTTGGTAGGGATCGTTCTCAATGCTGCATTCACATTCTCAATGAGACTTTCTGATGGTACTTCACTCAGCCGTTGTAATTGGCGCCGAGGAGGCCTGGTTGTCATTCGGGTCATGATTCTCTCTCTCAGGTCAGCAGCTGTCTCGTTCAGCTCTGTTTCGCTCATTGGGGCCGTGTATCCCCTCACTGGGGACTTGTAGTTAAGTCCCCACAGTCCTGACATCCGGGTTCCTCCCTTTTGCCGTAGCATTTGTGTTGTATCTCGTCAATCTCAAGTTGTGATAGCAGTTGCCGTTTGTGGATGTTGGAACACTGAGCTACTAGTTGTTTAGCGCTTAGTGTTGAATGGGGATGTCGAAGTAACCATTCCTTCCCCAGTCTTTGCATGTAACCTCTCTCACTAGGGTTACTTGAGTAGTAGCATTCCAACAGATCCACATTTTCATCTCTCGCCCATTTCCGTCTTGTTCCAGTAGCCCATTTGTCATCAAGGTGCTCTGGTTCCCCAACACCTGACGCAGACCTTGTTTGGCCGGGCGACGTCTGAGCCGGCATGTTATGCAACTTAGTATCTCTCATGGTATGAGGTAGGCAGTAGCTTGAAGGGTCTTGCCTAAGGACCCAGACTGGATTCGAACCCTGCCCTCTCGGGTGATATACTGATGCCTTATGTATTGAGCTATCCAGTCAGCTATGAGCTATCCAGTCAGACACATATATATATATATATATATATATTATATATATATATATATATATATATATATATATATATATATATATATTGGTGATGGATTATCTCCAGTATAACGATCACATTGGCACTCACAGTTATTGTCTCAAACATGCAAACCCACATATCCTCATGCTAACCTTCATCACTTAAACGTGCAGCAATTAAGTGCTTTTTTTTTTGCATGATGTTTTTATTTGGCCATTTCTGTTTTTGAATTCGCTGCTGTTGCTCTCAGCACCTTTTTCATTGCCTCGTTGGGACGAATAAAGTTTTATTGAATTGAGTTTACAATCCAAGAGCATAAAAAATGGTTTGGAGCCATTAAAATGTATTAAAATATGTAGATTTCAGCATTTTTGGTCTGATTTAGGAAACAGTCTGGTTTTCCTAAAGAGAAGCAAGACACTAAACCGTTTGTGGGGTCTTAGTTTTAAGGCTCAGCAAATAAAAGAAAACACACAAGCAAGACTAATACCCTGCAGTCACCAACATGTGACTCATCTATTAGCCTTTTCTCAGCCTGTCAGGATTCACCAACACACACACAGAAGCATTTGTGCACAGCGTGCTCTCACACGCACGTTCATAAGACACTTGCATTCCAACGTGTCTTTAGAGAGGATCAGACTCCTGTGGTGAGGGGTTTCCAGATTGTGTGTGGGTGATATCTGAACAAGCTTCAAAAGACATCAGCGCCTTTGATCTTTCCAGTTACACTCTCAGATTCTCTTGTACAAATGCATGTGCACATTAATTTTTATTATTTTTGTCTGGTTTTCTGAAAAATTCACTTTTACAAAAAGTCTGCTTCTTTGAGCGGCTTTTTTTATTTTTAATAACATATTCAAAACCAGAAAAGTTTGTTTCTAGAGTGTCATTCACTTTTATGTGCTTGCTAGTCATTTCATATTTATCAATTAAGTTGTTGGAAATATTTCTTTGAGAACAAATAATTGATATTTTTAAAGCTGGAAGGATTTTTAAATCAACTTTAACATGTTTTTGATTAGAAAAAAGGTGAATTATTAAGGCAGCGTTCTCAGAAATATGCAGAACCATTATTCAACCACTTACAAAGTGAGAAAAATGGCAGTGAAACAACAAAGCTAAAGTGAATTATCCTCAATAAGATACCAGCCTTTGATAAACAGCACAGGGTTCAAATGGTCCTTTTTGTTCTGCGAACAAACACGCAGTGTTAGCATGTCTTTTTTTTCCCCCACTTTACCTGTTTTGGGTTCATGGTGGCTCTCATCCAGCACCAGGCTATTCATGCATTTAAGCTCCCAGTCTTGGACCTCAGTTTTCCACAATGCAGAAGCCAATACAGTATAATGGGCCCTGCAGAAGGAAATGTGTTTGGAGGAGAGAGAAATAGGGGTTAAGAAATATGACTGGAAATTGCTAATTTTTTGTTTGCATGCATTTAAGAAAATTAAGTTAAAATACCACAGATTTATACTGGATCCAGTAACATGTGTTTTGTTACTGGATGGGTTTAATTGAGCTCACAAGATAGTCTAAAACAAGTAGGGAAAACAGATAGAGTAGGAATGCAGAGCCGCATATACAAAATGTTAGATTCACCTATTTCTGGATTTTCTGGAAAATAACTTCATTCTAAGTTATGGTAGCCACCGGTAATTTCTACATGATATTGATTCATTTGGCATAAATTACTTTTTCTAGTGTGTTTCTGTATCTTGACTTTTCTTGTTATATTTCAAGTTAATGTAAGAAGAATCATGACCATAACAGACAGATGTAGAAAATAATAATAATAAAAAAATAATCACAAAATAGCTTCACTGTTGTGGTTTGAATTACAAAAATCATCATTAGATATGTGCAAAGTGAGCTTCTATATTATTACTTTTGCTAACCTGGAGATGAGTAAAACCATCTTTTAATCTATTTGGTGGATTGCAAATGGAGCAGAAAATCTGTTTCAGAAAACACCTTTAATTAAATAATGAATAAGGATGTATCCGTTTTCCTGACAATTTATGTGGCTTTGAATCCTTTTCCATTCTGTTTCAATAGAACTGTAGCAATGTTTAACTTATTTTGTTCCATACATGTATGGAGATTAATCTTTAAACATCCTAGGACTGTTTTCTTCAAAAATTGATCTGTTAAAGCCCAAATTTGTAGGTTACTGTTATCAGGTGTTAATGAAGATATGGATCCCATTTATGAAAAGTTTCTACCTTTCAATGTGAAAAAACAGGACAATTTTTAATTTTCTTATAAAAAACGCACATCACACCGACAAACTACAGTACGCATAGTTTAAAGATTCAAATAAGTGGCAAAAATCTGAGCTTTCAATGAAGCCAGCTTTCCCAGTGAGAAGTAAACAAATGATGTGTCAAATCCTTTAACTGAATGAAGGCGTCAGAACAACAAAACGGACCAATGAATGAGAAGAGGCACAGAGGAAGACATGGGGAACAGAAAAAAAAAGAGACTGTGGGAGGACGGATGGCACGAGAAGGTTATGGGAATTATAAAGAAAGAAGTTTAGAATAGAAAAAACAAATAGGCTGATAAGAACAGAGTGTATAGGAAAAGAAAAGGAAGGAGACGCAGAGCTTGTGTGGGTCAGAAACCGATAGAGATGGGACTGTTTGCACGAGACAACACATAAAAAAAAAAATCAGAATAGATGTGTTTCAGAGAAATAAAGGTTAAATACTCTGCGATAACACTCTGGATGTCCACATAACATGTTCAATTGATTAAACAAAATCTGAAAAAAAAAAAACATAAAATTATACACTACTGGTTCATGTTAGGGTAAAAATGTAAGTGATTTGATTCTAATTCATAATATATTGTGAAATTTTCTAAAATTGTCATAAACACAGAATTCCCTAAAGCACTTCAGGACTTTGTGCAATAATATAGAAATGACACTTGTTTAAAACTGCAAACATGTTCAAATACAGGAAATTACTGCAAATCAAGTTCACACTAATGTTTGTTGAGCTTCCTTCATCTTATGCGAATGCTTATAATCTGCTGACCTTACATAGTGCCTTTCAGGCCACATGTCTGACTTATTAAATTTTAAAGGCCAACCCTTATTGGTATGAAATTGTTAAACATATGTTTGTAAAAGCAGGCACCACACAAAGAGATATCCTAATGCTGCAAGAACACAAACCACAGCCTGAGATGGGTAAAAAAATAAATAAAGCTGAGACTGACCATAGCCTCCCTCCCAATTTCTTATCTCCATGCTGCTTTTTGGCCCGCCAGCACTTAACCTTTTTTTCTCCCCTCATCATTTTGTACTATTCCCAGGATCTTCCCAGTGTAAGGAGATCCCCGTCCAGAGAGCAAGTCATACCACTTAGTGTTGACTTCTGACTAACCTTTCGTAACAATGCCAAGACGGCAACAATGACTTCTCAATGTGATGTGGTGGCAGTCTGCCCACTGAAAACCAGAGCAAGAACAAAACCGGTTTGTGAATGGTTGCCTTAATTTATGCATGAACAAACTGCAAGAGGTTCACACATGGATCAAAACGTGATAAAGTAAATATCTGCATAATTCAGCTATATAAGGTGGTAAAACATGAATGGCATTTTAGGATGAGCAGCTGTAAAGATATTTTCCAAAATAAATGTCCTTAGTTACTAAACCAGAGGCTTTAGACTGTACATGATCCAAAATGCTAGAATTATGAATACCTCACATGGGTTAAACTGCAGCATCTAAAGGGAGCATATATTTATGCAAAGATGATTAACTAGATCTTAATTATTAACTTGCATCAGCTCTTCCAGAGACACATGCTTCATAAATCAGGATCAGTGGCCCTACCAAGTTGCCATAACTACAGCTCCATGTCAGCAAACATGTCAGTCGCCATGTGACACTTGTATTCAAGATCACAAGAGATAGCAGACAGAGACAGAAAGCTGCTCTGACTGCCGTTGAAGGAACAAATTCAGTAAAAAGGATGTCATCCAAGTTTAAAAAAAAAAAAAAAAAAAAAAAGACATTTCCCATGGACCACCTTGTTTTTCCAAAACACTCGGCATCTAAACATCTCCAGTTCTGACACCCTGATTGAGATTCATGAATAGATCTATTTGGAGTTGAGCCTAAAGGCTGCACATTTCTAAAGGCGACACATTCTTTTAGATAATTCATGAGGTGACATTTCTGAATGGGTTTCTCAGGCAACATATTTCAGAAAGCAAAATTCTAATTACGTCTCCATATTTGTGTTTCGACCCAGTAAAGAAACAATTTGTGCCTAGAATATTTATGCTATAAAATAATAAATGCCACTTACATATCCACTGGTACTCTTAATAGCAGGGGTAACATTGTTCCTTCATCATTCAGCTCCATCAATCGAGGCTCCAGAAGTTCGATGATGGTCAGAGCAGTTCGGAACACAGCTTGCAGGCCTATCCAAAGAAAACCTTTTTGAAAATAATCTCTAGCTTGTAAAAACCACAGAATAATGTCAGTTAAACACATATAAATACTCACCAGCATAGCTGCATTAATAAAGAATTTTTAAAGATTTTTTTACATTAGTTTGTGTGTGTGCCTGCCTTGTAAAATGATGAGGTCCCAGACAGCGAGAACAGAGTCCCAGCAGGGTAGGGAAGTGAAGAGGGTGAGAAACCATGGCATCACAAAATGGACTAACAAGACTCCCGCCGAGTCCTGCAGGGAGGACAACACAACAGGAAAGCTTGATTTGGCATAACCAACAATGCATTCGAGATGCGTTTTACAGACACAGGGATGACAAATCTGTTCTTTAAATTAATCTCAAGTCAAGCATCTAAAACCACTTATGCATCGTAAAAATTCTGGATGACTAACTTTTTTTGGAGGTATGTTTGCACAAACATTTTCTGTTATTTAATCTGTGAAAAATATCAAATAGATTGATTGAATCTATTACCTTTGTATAATTTCTATTTTTATTATACATAAAAAAAAATAAAAACTCCATAACAAAGACTAAAGAGTCAGTGCAGGAGAAAGTTTTCACCTGTGCTTCCTTCAAATAAAACATTGGCTAAAAGTTGTCATTTTAAGACAAGTCTGGATGAGATGGCTTCAGCCAAACCCACCTTCCCACACATCTAATTTCTAAAGCAGTGAAAAACAAATTTTAACTGATAACAGTACAGAAAAAAAACTGTATTTAGACAAGCCACAACATGCAATTCTATTCCTGCTTGCACATGCTTTAAATGACGCTCCATGAATAAGAAGAAAGAAGACTCAAAGAGGATTATGTGATGGTCACGACTGAGAAATGTACACCAGTGAGATCAAGTGGGATTGCTTCATCTCATGTGAGCCTGCTCGTGTGCCTATATGGTGAAACTGGTGAACAAATAGCCACTAAATAAGCTTCCCACACCCCCAAAAAACTAAATAAATTTGTTTTTACACAGATTTTAAAGTTTGTTTTACAGGTCTGCTGCAAAAGTTTTTCTTTTTGCATCCTTTTACTTAAAATTACTAGAAAGTAACTTATTTTACCATTTAACTGAGTTGTAAAAGTTGCATCAAATCGATTTCAAATCGATGTGAAAAAATATGCAGGGATACAAATTATCTGTGGTGGTACGTTTCCCACTGTTAGAGTCAACTGTCCAGTCTTTACGCACCTGCATGAAACCAGAAGACTAAATGCACCAAATGAATGGTTCGATCATGTTTTGTACGTCAGGAACAAAACGTTCCTGGAATTTACTGAATGTAGAACTGCATCAACAATGTAGAACTGCATCAACAATGTAGAACTGCATCAACAACAATGACAAGCCTAAAGTCAGTAGTGGACGGCAGAGGAGGCCAAGCTGGTGATGGATTCATTACACAGGTCCCTAGCAGATGACTTACTTCTTTCCTGGCTATGACATGCACTCAACTGTGTGCTGAATATTTCTCTCTTTTAAGAGCCTCCAAAGTCCACAGTAAACAGAAGAACCTGAGTTTACTCCCATTTATTTGCTTTCCCCAAAAGAGTGGCCGGGCATTGGGCAGGACAAGGTTCTCATGGTTTGATAGTTGCAGCAAAAATATCATGGAATTGCAATACTTACACATATATTTTAAGCCAAAAATGTATATTTTTCAACCGAAAAACAAACACTCATAATGTTTCACAGAAAATAATACAAATTATAATGGAATATTTATTTACTGGTATTTTGAGACGTAGACTTCTGTAAGAATATAGTAAAAACCAAATCTCTAAAGTAGGAGCTAATAAGCCAGGGTTTCTTAGTTAAATGTGCCGTTTTTTCCAGTGGCAAGCCTGCGGACAAGCATATTTTTGTAATTTTAGTGAATTGTTTAAAACTATTTTGACTCAGTGCTCTGATTATAGAATACATGCCATTTTAACTGACATTATTCTTATTGCACTACCTCAGAAATGTACACCATCCATTACAATTGCAAAGCAATATTGAGATGATCAAAACTTCTGAATGATCGCTCAAGTAATAATCTGTTCATTTTTTTATTAACAGCACTAGCATGTTTACAATGATCTGGATAAAAGTACAAGAGTGAAGAAAAAAAAATCAAACACATGATAGAGAAATTTCTTTGACTTTATGAAAAGTGAGAAGTTTGTTAGAATGAGATGAGCGCTGTAAAGTTTTTTAATCCCTGTTATTTAGATCAACACTGAGGATTTTCTTAAGCATGAAGAAAACATCTAAGCCTATAAACACCATGTTGCTGGCAAGTAAACCAAAGGTCCTTTGTTTCTCACCAAGTGCTTGGAGAGACGAGCCTTCCGGTGTTTGAGGAACTGATCAAAGACCTTCACCTGATGTTGGACTCTGATTAGAAGAAGAAGAAAAATGTCAGCTTAGTTTTATTGTAGCAGAATAGAGAGAATCAGAGGCGGATACAACAAAAAAAGGATTTTGAACGCAATTTCGGGAGATGAATTTAAAATGCACTGAGAATGCAGAAATGAAATGCTTTCATCAGCTGTCTCTGGTACATAAACTTACACAAAAAGCATCACTACCCTGATGGTTTTTGCTGCATATTGTAGTTTATTTTACAATAAAATAAACAGATTCAGAACCAAAAAATTGTGGATAATAACATTCTTAAGCTCATTTAGATCAAAGATTTAAAGAGCGCTTAAGACTGAGTGGATTCAGAAATCAGAAATAAATCTTAACTACTTGAAGAGTAAATACTTTTTCATATAACATAATTTTTCTAAAGACATGTTGTGCACCTTCAAACTCAGTTCTTACTTTGTGAGACTGAGGTCAAACAGTTCAGCCAGATATTTGGATTTATCCAACAAGGCTGTCAGTGCCCAGAAAGCCTCCTCCTCTTCCAAATGCATCAGCAGCACAGCAGCTATGTAAGACATTCCTGTGAAACAAACAAGAACACACATTTGCTTTTTTTCTGGACAACAAAGTACAAATTAGATTTAATGTAAATATTTTAAACATTGGAAGATGTAGTTAATAGGCTGTATATTGCTTGAAATGCTTTTACAGTGTTTGTTTCTAAGAGAGAAACTATAACAAATAAATGCTTTCTTTTCTGATCCTACAGAGGTAACAAAAACATTTTTCCTTTTCTCATCTCGTAAACTAGAGCAGAAATGTCAGAATAGAATCTTATTCAGTAATTTTAAGCTCTCATCTTTTTTCTAATGTAAAGCATATTGAATACATTGCCCTATACATTTATTGGAACTCCTTCAGGATGGGAAAAAAAAATAAATAAATAACAGAAAATTTAACTTTGTAATTATTGTCCTCTACTACCATCTTCTGGTAGTAGAGTCACCTCTTCTGAAAACTCCTGAGATTTGTAAGCACTGTTGGAAAAAGTGGGATATTTTGATGGTTTAAAATTGGGTTCACTTTGAAGTTTTGAATGTTTCTGTCATTAATAAAATACAAGTATAAGTCATAACATAAATGACTTGCTTTCATTCAAATACATCACTGTATATTGTTATTGCTTACAAGACGTAAAAGAAAGGAAAATATAGACACAGCTGTGACACCTTAGGAAAACACAAATAAATATGTAAACATATATAACGAGATAGTTGTAAATATATGAACTCTCCTTTAAAGTCAGTGTTGTGTACCTGCGGACAATGACTTTGTATAGTGACAAAGTTTGCATAGTAAGGTTTTTGAGCTGAGAGGACAAGTCAGTTATGAGAAAACGTTACCTTGGCTGTAACCAACTTGTGGATTGTATTTTGCATAAGCAACGAGGACCCTGAAGAGTTTAGCCTGACCCTCAATGGCCTCTGAGCTCTGTCCCATCAGGGACCGGTGGGTTGGAAAGGATCGCTCTGTGGTCAGATGAGATCACACGTAATAAACAACATTAATTTCTTCTACTCAGCCAAAATCATTATAATAGGTAATGTCTTACCTTAACACTTTCTATTAATGCATATAAAATAGAAGTTGTTTTATTAATGCATATAAAACAACTTCTCTGCAATTACAGAGAAGTTGTGTGGCATGAATGATAGCAAAATTATGGATTAAAATTATATGACTGGAAGTATATGAGCCTAAAGGCAAAGTTTGCTTACATGTTTTACCCCTTCACATATAATCTTGAAAAAACTGGTAAAATGGAAAAATAAAATCAGTAGTGCTGTGATTAAGTTTTTGCAGCCTTAGTGATATCTGTTGTTGCATTTTTTTTTTGTCATCTTTGAATGAGACACAATTCAATATCAAAGATGGTTTGAGTAAATATAAAAGATGTCTGAAACAGCCAATCACTATGTAAAATGTTTAAAAGTCAATGTTTTTAACCAGAAATTAACTGAAAAAGAGAAAAACAAAATTGGAAATGTGGGTTCAGTTTCACAACCCACACCCAGACTGTAGAATCATAAAATTCAAAAGGCCAAAAAATATCCAAGCTACCCATCATCCATTAGAAATCCTACTGGGATTGGGTGGCATGACCTTAAACAAGCTACTCATGATTGAAAACGCTCAAATATGTCTGGCTTAACAACTCGGAAAAGAAGAGTGGACCACACACAATGTCTCCACATGGATCGAGACTCTGTTATCACAAGCATCTGATGAACAGCTGTTACTGGAAAGCGGAGCACAGAAAGCTGCTTATGTGGCATATCCATTTTCTCTTTGAGAAAACTTGGTTTGGTCGACTTTTTCTACACCAAAACAAAATCTGCTTTTTTTTATTTACTCAGGCAATCTTTGTCTCATGTTGGAGCTGGTTTAATCATATAAAACTAATTTATCTAACAAAAACAGAAGAGGTCTCGAAGGGGTTAAATGCTTTAAATGTGTCTTTCCGTATGAACTCACGTAGGTCAAGGGCGATCTGTCTGAACAGAGTTATTTCATCGATAGAATAGCAATTCTCATTCGAGCCCGAGAGCTGTCGTTGGTTCAAACCCAGATCATTCTGAGTGTCGCTCAGGGTGGCGATCGCAGACAAAATGCCATATTCACTGACACCCAAATCCACAAGGGGCCCTCGCACTTCTGACAAACATGTCTGTTTAGAGGAAAAGGAAAAAAAAAAGTATAAACTTTTCTTATCAGAAAATATATAATGTTTCATCTATTGAAGAATAAAATAACTGTTTTGAGATTAATAAGTTAATGATGTGTTGTATAGGCAAACTGTAAAAAAGGGACAAAACACACACATTAAACATAAATATTATGAAAAAAATAAAGAATCTGTCATTTACCTGATAGTTGAAGTCACTACATTCTCTCACACCGTCAACGTTCAGAAGGCACTTCCATACTCTGCCCCGCAAACTTGGAGGAATGCCCATCCGGATAAAGCGTTCGATCTGAAAACAATAAGTCGAAGAACAAACGAGCTTAGATAGCAAGGAACATGTTTTCACTCTTTGTTTCTTCCATAGGTCTAACCTGACTCTTGCAGATGAAGCTGGCTCCATTCCAGTAGCTGAGCAGTTCACACAGCTCCTTCACCTTCACCACGCTCAGCTGGGGGTAGCTGACAGAAAACATTTGTGGAATAACCTTCAATGTCGTTCACCCATAGCAATATAGCCAGTCATGTTTTCACTGTTCTCCTGTTATTGGAAATTAGGTCTTGCAGTTAGAAGGTCCACAAGGAGAACCCCAACATCGCTCCCCAAAGGGAAACCCAGCTCTACTGACGACTTTATGTAGTCAGTTGACTTTTAGTGGTTAGTTCTGGGGCAATAACTGGATCCTGAATGTTTTGCATTTTTGTGTTAGTATTATGATACAGCAGAACAATAGTATTGTTTGCCATCTTGCCTGTAACCAACTTGTGGATTGTATTTTGCATAAGCAACGAGGACTCTGAAGAGTTCAGCCTGACCTTCAATGGCCTCTGAGCTCTGTCCCATCAGAGACCGGGTGGGTGGGTATTTAATTCAGACTTAAGGGACGTTTTACATCACAAGATGAAAATAAAACATATCTTTAGCCTTATGATGTCACGACAAGCTTAAATAGTATTAATTTCACGGAACTAAACGAGCATTAATTAGGCCAAACATGTGTCGCACCTGTAATCGTGACATCTGTGGTGAAGCTTTTGCTCCCTTCTGTTGGTGCAAGCAAAGCCGAATTCATCAAAACGCGCAATCTCACTGCGCCTTTTATCTGTCGAGTTTCTCCAGCTGGCGCTGCTGCTGCCGCTGCTTCTTCTTCTCATGTTACTTTCCTTTTTCTATTCACTAACTTCTAAGCGACCCGCTTTGTTCAACTACTGTCAAGCTCAACGAAATTCAAATTTGACCACGCCCCTAATTCTACGTCATGGAGCGTCACTGGACTGTTTTCTTATACTTATAATTCTGATTGTGGATTATAATTTATTTTAAATAGTGAATATAGTTTAGAACAATTTAAAATGTCTTTAACAAATCTGGTTCTTTGAAAAGTGAAAATACCCGGGAAAAAGACTTTCGTTCTTCTACTTGTTTAACTCTTTACCCGCCGGTCAGATGTGAAATTACCGGGCTGAAAGTGACGACGAGATGACAAGGGAAGAGCTGTCATCTCTTCCTTTGATGGCAACTCAAGGGAAAACTCTTCTTGAAACTTCCCACAAATACTCAAATTGTATCCGGTTATGACAATGTTTACAATGTGTTTACAGCTTAGATTATTTTTTAAAATTTTTATTTCAAATTGTATTAAAAGAATTGTTTTAAAACAGCCGACTGTCGTATGGCTGATTTGAAATTAAACTTACAATCGGGTTAGATCTGCTGTGCGAGCCCGGCAGACCGTAATGCGTCTCTTTCTCTGCCGCCCGCCAAGCCGGCTGGAAAATGATGCGGACCCGGACCAAGTCACGAGATACTAAAAAGGTCATTGACGAACTTTATGACAAATTACTTATGCAGTATTGTTGTTTATTTTTGATGAGGTGGAGGAAAACTAAATTAAAGAGGTTTTAAAAGTCGAACATTTAAATTGAAATGGGGGGAAAAAAAGCCACGGTGTGCTTTAATATTTATTTGCGTTGATATCTGGAAATTCGAATGAATGAAATAGTATTAACTTTTCAGAAAGAAACTTATGTATAGATATCAGAAACCAAAGCAGAACACATTCAGCTGGTCTGATTCCCTACCTACCCACCCCATCTTTAGAAGATGGAAGCTCACATTAATTTTTAATACATGTAGAGCAAACTTTGTTGTTGTATAGATAGATAGATAGATAGATAGATAGATAGATAGATAGATAGATAGATAGATAGATAGATAGATAGATAGATAGATAGATAGATAGATAGATAGATAGATAGATAGATAGATAGATAGATAGATAGATAGATAGATAGATAGCATCCTATCTAACACAAATTAAACATTATCATTCCAAAGTGATCTAAAATTATGTTCACCTTGCCAAGACATGAAGTTTGATCAAAATGCACACAACTTATGTTGTCTTTATTGCTCTGACACAAACACTAAGCTTTGTATGAAGCTTGTTTGCACAGCCAATGATAAACATGACCACAAAAGAACACATCCATTGCCAGCAAAGGACGAATGAAGTAACTTTTCATGAGATCCATAAAATTCCTTGATGCTTTTACTGTAATTTTTTTTTTTTTTCAGAGGAGGAGGGTCATGTTAGATGTGTTAATGCAGGTTTTGATGCTGAGTAAAGGGTGAAAAGAAAACATGTTTCACTCGGATGTAACTTGGGCATTGCTGCGCGTTTCCACTTTGTATATTGTCTGGTAGCCATCATCCCAGGCATACAGCTGTTTATCCCCAGGGTGATAGTGGATGCTGCTGTGGCTGGAGTAGCGCTTTGGGAAGAACATCACTGGACTCTCATTGCTGCATGGGCACAACATAGAAAACATAAATCATTTAGCCACATCCATTTAAAATGTGTCAAACTGCAGCTTATTATTTTAGTATGCATCGTTGACATTTATGACTGCACACTCAGACTGCGTTGTGCACTAACCTGTGAATGGTGTCATGGATATCGTACAGACACTGGATGGTGGAGCGACCTCCATAGCGTGTGTTGTAGACCACGTAAAGCGTTCCACATATCAGGAAAGCACCCTCTGCATCATTGCTTCTGCACTGTGTGTCCCAGGTGTACTCCACTGCTAAACTTACTGGTGAAAACAACATTTGTTGTTATGGGCAGTTCTTGCCTGAATGTCAACCTGGACAAACCCATGCTTTTCCCACCCCCGAACAATTACAATTGTTAAATGGTTGGGATAGATTATAAGGTGGTCTTACACAAAGCATGCAAGCTACCCTTCCTATTTTTGTTAGCAGAAAGTACATATATAAAAGCAATAATAAACTTGTTCAGGTTACAACTGAAAAATAAGTTATATTTTTTGAAATGTAATAAACTGAATATTAATGAAAATTTTGAGCTGTATTGATAAAAGGTTTCATTATGCTTTTAGCAGTTCTGTGTAACAATACCCTATCATTAATTAATTAAGTAAAAAAAAAAAAAAGTCCATAGCTGAAGGTCATCACACCTTTGTCTAGCTTGGTGATGACCAGGTTTCCTCCGTACTCAAGATCCGCGTAAATAACCCAGAGGCCAAGCTCGTCTACAGCCATGTCCAGATAAGTGTTGGGATTGAGGCTGTAGACAGGAAGACGGCCGGCTCCGGGAAGAAGGGTGCTATCCACCACGGTGCCATTCAGCAGATCCACCTTTAAAAGTGATGAGAAATAATTTAAAGAATACAAACTGTGGTCATCAACAAAGAAAATGAAGCCTGAGGTTTTCTTGCTCGGAACAGTTAATCTATCCATTCACTATCTTATGCAAGGTCACAGAGGTAACAGGTCCGAAAGCAGAATCCAGACGGTCCTGTCTTGCTTTTCAGCATGTTCTTAAGGATTTTTTGGTGTCCCCAAGCCAAAAGGAATGTATAGTTCATCTGGTACTTTTTGCCCTCGTCCTCGTCAAAATGGAGTCAATCAAAATTCAGCTTAATTAAAGAAAAATCTTTTAGCTGTTCCTCTCTGGAATGTGATTCTCAGTCATAATGCAGATTCCTTGATTCCAAATGAGAAGTGGAATGTAAATGGGAAATACAAATTAGAAGCTGTTTTTTAAAGTTTACTTGTTTTCTTTATTATCAAACAGTCCTTGCATTAATACAGAGAAAGGCTCAATTAATCTACCCATTGCATGTTTCATGCATTATAACCTCAATTTAGAGCAAGAAACAAAGACAATTGAACCTCAAATCTGAAAAAAAAGGAGTTTATGCATTTTTGGTATGAACTGGTTGTACTAATGCAATTTTCTCATAAGCACTCAGAGTTTCCTGGGAAAATTAGCATCGTTGGAACAAACTTGTTTCTTTTGGCACCGAGTTCTCTGTGACCTCAGCTAACACACTGGGACAAAGAAAAGAGCACAGAACTCTGTTCCTGATGTTGACAAGTCCTTGAAATGACCAGACTTAAGGCCAACAGCTGCTATGAGTTCAGCAAATTAACAATGTGAAATTATGTTCATGGTGATAAACTATGCAGTCCGAGGCTGTTCTTTATAACACCAACAACAGAACATGAACTTGCAGTTCCTCTCTATGCTGTTTTTGCTTTTTTTGCTTGATGCAGCTCAATAGAAAAATGCATGAATGAACTGTTATGTTGCACTTTGACAAAAAACTTTCAGTGACAAACCTTCAGTATTTCATTGGGTGTGTCTGCCTTGTGACAATACAGGAATCCATTGTAGATCACGTGACCCGTGCCCTGCCAGTAAAAAGGCAGCTGCACCTCATTTACTGGAGGTGTGGAAGTCTTTGTGAAGCTTTTCAGAGATTTGTACTCCAGAATGGTGTTGTTACGAAATCCACTGAATAGGTACACCTGGAAGAGAAAAGGCAAAAAACAGAACATGCAAGGATAAGGAAACATTTTTTTCATTGATGCGAAACCCAATCTGCCTAAGACAATGCTACTTCATACCTAATTAGTTGGGGATATTTTTAGATAGGTTAATTTGACTTTCAGGGAACCACATCCCCAAAGATTCCCCACCAGGTCCTTAATGTGAGCCATAAACAGATAATCTGATAAAGCTGTCTTTTAACATGCCCACAGAATATGTAGAGCACATTTAAAAAATACAGGTTAGAAGGATTATTACACATTTTCCAGCATATTTTAATTGTAACTGAATTGGAAAACTCATTAAGAAAACTCAATGCATTAGTCCCATAGTAAGCTTAAGTTAGAAGGACAGTCACTGTATGTTTCAGATATTATACCTTATTTGAACCTTCAGAGGGGTCTTTGAACCAGCATCCATTTGGATCTCCAGATTTCTTCACAATCTTAAGAGACTTGACTTGACTCAGTGCTGTGCTGCAGTCTAGATATATTGCATCAAACCAAGAAAAAAAATAGTCTTAGAAAACAAAACCATATATATATTTTTTTATTAATCTCTTTTCCTCTTGCATTATTTTCCAGCGTTCCTCTATGCAAAAGCTACCTACCATTCACCACATTTATCTTGGCCTTCTTTTTCAGCTGCTCCAGTTCTATGGCTTTTATCTGCTGCTCCAGCAGCGCTTCCTCCATCTCAATGTTAGACTGAGTGGGAATTTTGTTCTCCAAATATTCCAGCTCCCTCTCCACCCGGTCAACACGCACAGAGACACCGTCCACCTGGCTCTTTACTTCTGATCTAAGAAGGAAAGTAAAAAAGTATTTATGAGTCAGCAGAACCAATTTTGTCATTTGAATCATGTCTTGTTCTCAGATAATTCAGGGGAGGCCTACCTCAAACTGCTCAGAGTGGACAGATAGCCTCTGACTTCAGAGGAGAGGTCATAAGTTTTCTGGGTGGCACTCACTGTGTTTTGCTCACACAGACTGAGACGCTCCTGATTTTATTCATAGTGGGAAGGAGTAGAATGAATACAAATGAAGTTATATGTACAGAGCAACGTTTTAAATGAACATCAGAGATAATTGCATGAAATACTGTCTTTTTTGTTAGAAGAGAGAACACATTTTAACCACCAAGAAATACTTAAGTCATTTAATTATTTAACCTTGCTTAACCAATAGCTGATCCAAACATCCAGAAAAAAACTGAATATAGTTTCAAAATAATTTCTTAGCTTCATTTTATTGTCACCCTATTTTATTCTGTATTATATGAAAAAGATTAACATTTATTGATATTTTGGTACTCCACCTTGATTTAAAATTACCGCTCATATTTTAATATGTATCCACAGCTAAACTTTGGATGCTTGTATGGTGTTATATTGTGACCTCTCTGGTGTTTTTAGTATTAGAAAAACTCCACTTTTAGTCCATTCTCTCAAAAACAAAACAAAATGTCATTTAAGAAGCAAGAGGACTGAGCATGTATTTTAGCACATCTAATAGGGTATAATGGGTTTTTCCCTATAAAAAACAGGCAGATAATCTGTGTTGACTCAGATTCCTAGAACAGAAGGTCCTAATAAAAAACAGTTAGATAGTTGAAAGGGTGCCAAAATTTTGCAACCAGATGATCTGACAGTGACAAAATCCAAAGAAAACATGATTTCTTTGAAAACAAGGTGATAAAGAAGAAAAATGTCCAGTGTGAAATAAATATTGAAGGTGGCAGATTTTTGAGGAAAAGTAATGCAGAAATGAACTCACCTCCATTTGAACAAGCCTTCTCTCTAGATACTGGATTATGAAGGCATCTTGGGAGGAACCCTGGCTCTGGACTGATCCCAAAGTCAGGCACAGAGATAAAAACAACTGCAGAACCATCCTCGTTGATGCTTTTTCTCCGTGTCTTGATTCCCAAAACGTTCCTGAAAAACCCTGAAACGGCTGTGATGTCTTCAGAGCTATTGCCCTGAAATGAGCTGTAATTACAATAAAATCCTCCCTTAAACTTCTATCGGGCTCCAACAACTAGCTCAACAAGAATGAGCTGCTGAAATCCTAAAAGAAAGGCAGCTGCAGACACACTTTATAACATTCCTTCTGCATTAAGAGCAGTTCTTGATTCCTTGCTAAACAAATTTTCCTTTCGTTTTGCTGCTGCCAGACTTTCAGCTCATGAACTTTCTGCCTGTGTTTAGTTGCTGCCCACAGTCCCTCCCAATCTCCCACTCTCCCAGTCTTTCTGCAGGCCCCCCTTTCATTCTCCTCCTCTCTGGATTTTGTACATTTGTGGTATGAAAGAGGATGCCAGTAAAGGAGGGGGAAAAGCCAGAGAATGAACTAGAAATAAGCAAAACTTTCTGATCCATTTTGGAGGTGGAATGCTCCCCGGTTGGTTTATGGACACATCCTCAGTTCCATGCAGATATGAAAATACAAAACATATCAGCTAGGCAGTAATTTATATTTGCATTTACAAATAATTACAATAGATTTTCATTCAATTTAAAACATGTGCCAATATATGTCGACTTTTTTTCTCCTACTGGTGTTAAAACATGCTAACATGAATTTTATTTCATGTCCCATCTATTTTTCTGCACATCTGACAAGAACAATTATAAAAGAATAGTTGTTGTTCCAAAACTTTGAAAGCGTGTGAACTGATTCGTAAAATCAAAATCAGATTGTGAACATTTAAAGGAGTGGACACTGTTGGCAGGGTTGGTTTCAGCCTTATAGTTGCTGCTTCTGTTCCTGACAATATTCTCTCTGAATCACATCCAAAAGTTGTCACTGCCTTTGTAGATAATCGTTATCTTGCTGCTGCTTTAAAAAAAAGAAAAAAAAAAAGAAAAGAAAACCTTTTATCTCCATCTGGAGAGTTTCAGAGTTGGCTGAGATGATTTCCTGCTTTGTCTTGATGGCAGGCAACATCTGGATGCCTTCTCTGATACATAGTAGGGTGCACAATATGAAACAGGGCTCTCAGATTAGAGTAAATGCATGAAAGAACAGAAGAAATGCCAGTAAATTCACAAAGTAAAATATATTTTCCTTTTTTCATCTTCATTGTGCAACCACAAGGTGGGGCTACATCCTAATTTGTCCTGGAACGGCTAACAAAACCAGCCTGACAAGGTGGCTGCTTCCCCCCACAAAAGCCATAACAACCACCTTCTTGCCCAGCTTTTTACCTGTGGTCTGGCGTAATAAAAAACTGACAAATACAAACACCAGGGCCCAATGAAAAGTACAGAGTACATCTTCATATGAAAACCTAGTGGTTTAATGCCTCCAGTCTTCTCTAAATGTATTGAGATTATTGGAAACAGTCAAGAAAGTTCAATACAAACTTCAGTTTTGGAGTGCTGGTCTAAATGTTTACATATTTGGGTGTCAGATCTTCAAATGTTTCTAAGGCTAACTCTCAATACTAAATGAGAATGAATAGAGATGCTGAACATTTTCCCTGATTTAAATATGTGTTTCTTCATATCAGCAGGGAGGATGTAAAAAAGTAAAATCTACAAAAAACTAATACATCTAAGGTGAGTACTTGTCTTGCGATAATCTCATTTAGAATTACTGAAAATGAATCCAATCTGTTTTCTTCACATCTGTTTAAATATCAAAGCTAAAGTTTTATTCTTTCTTTTTCAGGTAATCGGATTAATCTCATTGATACATTTACATGTATGAAGAAAAGACCCTTCATACATAAACACAGAATGAGATGTAACCTCGTGAAATATTCAAGATGGTTGACCAAGGAGTGCCATAAAATATCCATAGAGTCACAGCAGGAGATGTAACTGAGCTCACATCTGTAAATGACAGCAGGAATCCCATGAGCAGCAAATGTGCACGGGTTGCATAAATGACAGTATGTTGGATACACATTATTGAATTTTTTAAAAAGCATAATACATTTTTGTGTTTTCTTTATTATGCATATGTGCAAGAATCTGTGGGATTTTGTGTATTTTATTTCTCCATGTAACTTTTTGAAGTTTTGCTTCAGCCTATTTCTTTTTTGGTAAATTGTGGGTTATTTATTGTTTATTGTTATTTCTTTGTTGTTTCTGGTGATGTGGACAGTTTACCAAAATAAAATAAATGAATGAATGAATATGCTAACCTTCACAGATGGAGTGCAGACTGAGACTGTCTCATGGTAAGGGTTAATATAGGCGCAATGTTGTGATGACTTTCTGTAGGTGGAGTTTTAGAAAGCGCAAGAGTTTCTTAATGAGACAAAGACCCAATTTCACACCATTAAATTCCAAAGTCAAATTTCTTTTAAGTCATAATTGATATTTACAACATTTTTATTCCATATGTTTAATGTGCAATAAAATCACATTATTTGGCTTTAGAGCACATATTACTGCCCCTTTAAGAAGTTACTGTACTACATTTTGTGCCACAAAGCATTAGGGGAACAGTAGTTCTGCTATAGTGACAACAGCCAGTAAATTGCTGGGACCACTAAGGAGAAAAAATGTACATGGGCAGAGTTATGACAGAGTTAAGAAGGCAAACAAGGTTATAGCAGAAAATTCACTCTCCCTAAATGTCATTGTTTATTGTTAGTGTATATTTATATGTATTGTTGTCTTTTCATGCATTGTCAGCAGCCCAAACCTGCTGACAATGATGAATACCAATTTCCTTACAGGAAAAAATAAAAAGCAGACATCTGTCATTTCTAATGCATGCATGTCAGAAGAATGTAAATAATTGTGTGCAAGTTTCCTACCAAGTATGTGTAAGAGCATGTGTGCTTGAATCACTGTGTCTTGGTGATTGAGTGAGAGATGCCAGCCTTCCACCACCCTCTGTCTCTTGACCTTTTGCAGTCTTTGTGTTTGGCAGATGATGAGTTTTTAATGCCAGCCCCAGCAAACAGCCACTATGTCAATTCGACTGAGTCTGGAGAGTGTGGACATCAAACATGGGAATAAAAGCAACTTTTTAAAATCAAATCAAAGTAAATATTTTCTTTTTTCAATGAGAGAATAGTAGTAATATGGGTAAAATGCAGAGACACAATGAAGAGAGCTATTTTTAAAGGGCAGTGTCCGCACTAAATGATGACTATTACATCTGAGATCCACAACAACTCAGTGCTTTATACTTATGAGGTATTTTGAGGCATTTTTACCAAATAAGTCTGGGAATTTTCTCCCAGTCAAGGAGAACAAAGCAGTAAGGCCTAATTTTGTTTTTGCTTGCAATATGGCCAAATCAGTCTGCACAAATCAATTTAGGAAGGAGTCCTTTGAAAGCTACCAACAGTACATGAAAGGGTTTGCCAAAATACTTTGACTGAAAAAAGGTTCTGTCCCTACTGTTCATCACAAATCTCCAGATGATGGCAAAGTAAGTACATGAAGATGTCTTGCTGGGATGAATGAGGCGGCTGCTAGTATTATTTTTGAGATGATTTTTTTCTGTTTTATTTTTACTATAGTTGTTTCTTTTTGAGTGATTAATCTGCTTAGAACTGAAAGCACTTGTATTGTCAGATTGTAATTTAGTCTTGATCACAACCTGTGAATTTACTGCAAAACTGTTACATTCTCTGTTTACCACTTCACAGTTCCTATTACATACAGAAACATCTTCCACCCACCAAAGCTTCTTTAGTTTTGAACAATATTTCACAATTACTACTTGACCTTTCCTTTCTGTTCTCCTTCACTTTGTCACTTGGTCTGTTTCTCTCAGACTCAGTGGGTTGCCAGGCTTCCTGTGGCTCCACTCTTAAAAATTTCATTAGCAGGATGCTCCCTGGTGCAACAGGCCATGATGAATGCCATGCCAACCCCAGGTATTTAAATTAATTAGGGTTTAACACAAGTGCAAGCTATTGTTCATTCCCAGCAGTATTTCTATTGTCATAAGCACGTCTTACTCTTCCATCCTGATAATTCACCTACTAAACGTAGCATTTACTGCAGATCTGAGTGCTAAGATGAATGGAAGGCATGAAAATGAAAAACTTTGAAAGAATGTAATTAGACCAAAACATATAAAGACACAACAGAGCTACATCTTCAAAAATATATCTTCATGCTAAGAAACTAGTGATTTTACCACATTGTGTTTAACAAGCAAGTCTTTTAACCTGCAGTTTATTCCTCATTCTTAAATTTTAAAAAAGTTTTTACTCTCAATGTGATGGGTAGAGCTGCAATTTTGTAAAATTTTAAACAACAAAATAAAAAAGCTGGGAGATTCTTTTTCACAGCTGAATTTCCCTGTGAAAAAAGTGAAATCCATGAATGACTCCTTTTTAAAAAAAAAAGGATCCTTCCATGTACATCAACATTTTTCACATTCAGAATACACCTGGGTCACTTGTGTCACATTTTGCAGGATTTGCACTAAACAGCAAGGATAAAAGTAAACAGTGGTCAAAAATTTGTCTATATTCCACTAAAATAAAAATAAAAAATACAATCTTGCAATTGCAGTGTTTCCATTAAGCAATTAAAGTCAAATATAAATTAATTTTTCCACACAAAAAGTCATTCAAAATCATACCATGCAATTTCTTGTCATCTTTCCATTAAACAAATTTATTTTTGTAATTTTAATTTGTGCAATTATTTGATAAATTATATGATCAACTATTGAAGTTCAAGGTAACAGATTTTCAAATATTTTTTTATCAAGTTTGTAGGTCTTTTACTCAGAGGTATGAAACTTAATACATGAAGGATCAGCCAGAACTGATGAAGCACTGAAAGGACAAAGGTGCTTATTTTGCCATGTCATGCCCTGTCATAATCTTGGCATTGTTGTCTTTCTTCTTTGATTACTTCCTTATAGTTCTCCCCATCCGCCTTTTGACTGTTGATTCTTGTTGAGTGCTGCTGCCCTGTGCTTTCTACACACCTAAAGGCCAATCATCTAATCAAGCTCTCAGCTTTAAAGGATCTGAGGGACGGCCACTTGGTGCCTGATTGTCAGCTGTGTAGTGGTAATTAAGGTCACTGTCTCTGCTCTCAGTGCTTTCCACGTATCTCTATGTATTTAAAATATTACATGGATCCTACCTGATGGTTCTTTAGAAACTACATCACGCCCAAATAACATCTTCCAGGTTTACTTACCTCCAAATGTGATCATCCACTGCACATCTTTCCTTCTGATCAATATCACAAAGATCACCAGCCTGTCTTTTATC